CTCGCATAATTTATAAACTTTTATACCAAATCTCGCTCTTTTTGACAGATTGTAATGTTTATAGGATAAATGTCCTTTAAATTTTACTAATGATTCGTCAATTGCAATGTCCTCTTGCATAGTATATATTTCTTGGAATTGTTGGTTAAAATAATTTATTACGGTTTTTATTTTACTTAATTTATCACTTTTATTGGCCACCTCATTATTTGCAAAATTCAAAAATGTACTTATTTGTAAAAATCTTTTGTACAGCATCGTTTCTCTAAATATTAGAGTTGCAATAATGGCCCTCTTAGACCAATACATTTGAATTTCGGGTTTCTTCACTTCAGCCGCAATTATACATAGGGCAGTATGTATTTCTGGTTCATCACAGTCAGTAGGAAACCAAGCTTCATCAAATTTTCTTCTTTTATTTTCATTATTTATCACTTGTTCTGCATATAGATTTGTCTCCGTCACAAGATTTTTCCAAAATATACTATTAAACATTATATTAAAAACCTCCATTTCCTCTTTGCTTGTACTTCAACTAATCTAATGTTGCAGCTTTTATTCCAAGGAATTTCCATATATTGCCATTTTTTTGGTTGGTTCTCGTTTTTTTTTTCCAGATCCACAACTCGGGTGGTTGATAATAATTTTCATTATCGGCTTCTTCAGCTAATCACCAGTTGCTTAGTAGCTTTTCGTGCGAAATGTACAATGTCACTACCACTGTCACTACTGGTATAAAAGTCATCACTGTTCTCAATACTAATTTTTTTTTTTTTTTGGAAGACATTATAATGGGTGATTTTATAATACTTCTTACAAACGATGTAACTTCGAATGCGAATGAGAAGTAACTGAACTCGCGCCTCTGGAATCTCTCTCATGGGGCAGAGGCCCCATCAAGTTTCTGAAATGTTTTGTTTATGTTTCGCCCGGTAGAGTTACGACGACTCTGAGGTGTCTTTTTCGTGTTTGGGCCGATAACCTTGCGACGTTTCTAAGGTGTCTTATTCATGTTTGGGCCGATAACCTTGTAACGCCTCTGAGGCGTCTTATTCATGTTTGGTCCGATAACCTTGCGAAGCCTCTGAAGCGTCATTGTAAGGTAAGGGGATAAATTTACGAGTGGTAGAGAAAAAACTGAATCAGAATGTTGGGGTTTTAATTAGTCCAAAGGGACTTTGTTCCTGAAGGACTATTGTTTTCGTTTTGTGATTTTGCGTTGAATCATTATAAATGTCTGTTTCACGTTTCAAACTGTTGCCACCAAATGTTAGAGTCCTGCATTATATTTTAAGAAATTAAATAATGAAAAATCTGCATAAATGTATGTATATTTCTCGTATTCTGATAAAACAACGGTACATAGAGCCATCAAATTTTGAATGACGTAATCCTCCTACGAATATGGTCATGTGGAAGACCAAATTTGAAATTTTGAATTTGTTTTATTATCGATTTTGTATTTTGTAAAACTTTGACGAATTTTTTAGTAACAAACTCAACGATTTAAAAGTGAGCAATGGCAACACTCTGCAGGGGAAAAAAAAAAAAAAAAACCTTTTTATCTCCAGCTCATGGAACTGTGTATCGGAAATTCTAAAGGTATGCTCATTTTAAAATTATTTTTGCAACATTGCTATTGGACTGAATTTTATGGTTTAAGTGCAAAGAATTATAATATTTAATAAATAAAGATAACACACAAAATGTTAAAAAAAAAACGCTCCTTTGGAGATAATTTAAAATCTGAAACCTTTCAGATTTTTTTGTATTATGTTTAAATGTTTTTGGGTTGTTTTTGAATTTACTAGTTAAAAATAATTTGTTTTGTACCACCTATCTTCCTTTTGCATACCACCGGTTGAGAACCCCTGATCAATATTATAATTTATTGTGGGAAATTTGCTGGTCACATTTGGCTTATGCAATATTATGCTTTTAACACTGGAAATTTTTAACTTTTAACCAATGGAAAAACAAGTGCAAAGGAAGGCCATGTTACAGTTTTGCGTTGCTAACTACGAGAAAGCTCAGCCTTTTCATTTTATGTTTACTATTTGAATGTGATGGCAACGACTTAAAAAAAGATGAATGTTCTTTGGTAAGCAAATGAATTTTAAATAGGTGTAAGTAAAATTTTCCATGTGATAAAATGGCAAAGAATTTGAAGTGTCCTTTGGAGTTCTTGAAGAAAAGGTAAGCAAAATGTATTCTTACCAAATAATGTTAGATGTTGAAGGTAAAATTAAGTCAATAAAACAAATTACAAACTTGAAAAAAATAAAAGGTCAAGGCTTTGATAGTGATTTTAATGTAATTAAAATTACCATTCAGAAATATTGGCGAAAAGAAAACTAGTCATTGGAGTGGAAGCACAGGAAGGTTATGGATTCATCTTTAGCTAGTGTGCAAACAGAACAACTTTCAGTGATTCAAACACCATTGCTTTCTTCAGCTGCAATTATCCCTTTCTTTCCCAGTATAATGTTTAACATTTTGTTATTATTCATGTAAAATTTATTTGATAGATAAACTAAAACAATTTTTCATACCATTACATTACAATATCATTGAAATGAGAGCTTTAATTAATGGTCCTACTGCTTCATCAGCTGGAACCTGAATGAATAGATCACATTTACCTTCATTTAGAACTGGTGCACTTTTTGAAATTTTAAGATGCTTTTCTGTATTTTATACGATGAATAGGTAAAAGTGTAAGTGGGTGGGATACCAGAATTTTAACATAGTTTTGTCCAGATATCTGTGTAGCTTTATCCCAATTTTGAAGGAGAACATCCCGGGAATGTGGTCTGAAGGTCTCTCTGTACCACCAATCACTTAAGAGGACATTGGCTGTTTGTGTATTTTGACTGTCCCTTTACCTCATAGACTGTATTCATTTACAAACATCCATGCCTTCTCTGGGATTTGAACCCAAGCCCATCAGTATGGCTGTCATTGTCACTAACCACGGTACCATCTGGGCAGTTTTAGGATGAACATCCAGATATATGGGAGACTGAATGTTTATTTCTATATTACAACAGGCTTTGTGACAATTTTGATAGCTTTTGTTAAATTTGTAGGCAACATTTTTAGAAGGATTTATTGATTATTTCAGCTTTGTCTCTTTCTGTAGTAAAGTGTGGAAGTTGTAGAATAGGTTATGCATGTTTATACTTAACTAATGTTCTAGTTTGTATATTTTTTGATTGCAGAAGTACTACTCACTTTTAATTTGTATGCAAAGTTAAATTTTATTTTTATGTATTTATTATGATCAGATGATTAAAATTTTAATTTGCATCAACATTTTAACTGTTAATTGTATTAAAAAATTATAATTATGTAATTTATTATTTGTAATACAATGTATGACAAAAAAAAAAAAAACGAGACTGGTCCAATAAATCATTGTACTTGCAGAATTAGTTCTCCATAACATTATCAACTTCAAAGTAATTTCCTTCAGCATTCACGCACTTCTGCATTCAGTGCTGCCATTGCTGGTAACAGTTCTGGAACGAGGCTTTTTGAATGCCCTTCAGGAGATTCTCCGTTTTTGCCTGAACCTCTTCAGCTGAGGTAAAATGGGTTCAGTAAGATTTAACTTTAGGAAATAATAATAATAAAAAAAGTTGCATGGAGCCAAATCAGGTGAATATGGGGGATGCCCCACCACAGTAATGCTTTTCCTTGTCAGAAATTGCTTGAGAGATAGGGCTTGCATTTTTGCAAGCAGCCATCCATCACTCTACAACTATTTCCTTGTTTTTTCCTAATTTCTTCTTTTTAGTACTTCAACATAGTAGCATTGATTAACACTCTGACCACTGGAAACCCATTCAGTCATAATGAACGTGCCGAGCCTGCCCACGTTCATCATCTTCTACACTGTCCCTTCTCCCTGAAAACCACTTAGGCCATTCAAACACACATGCATGAGACAAAGTTTCATCTTCATAAGCCTTTGTTAACATTTGAAATGTTTCCTCCATGGCTGATTTCTTAAGTTTCACAAGAAACTTGTTGATTCGCTGTTTGTTTTTTTACAATAGACATTTTTCCGATATAATGCAGTTGCACATGTTCACTCAATGATGCAGTACTCCCAAGTGCCATGGTCGGTTAAGTTGAAACTGGCCGCATGGATAGAGGAGGTGTGTGGCATGACGTCACCAAAGCAGTTGTTACTAACTCCGCTCTGTTTTCAAGCTACACACTTAGTCTAATTTTTTTTTTTTTTTTTTTTACAAGACTGTTGTTTAAAAACATTTGATTTTGCTCCTGTTTCAAAATTTGGCGAAAATGAGACAGCATTATCATTAAATTAAATTTGTAGCACGCATAGCTACTACCTTAAAAAGGTATGTTTCTTAATGTACGATGCAACAGTTGCCCATGCTTTCAGCATCTCTCTTATTTCACTGTTAGCTTCTCATTCCCTGATGAAAGCTTTTCTACAAATATCTAGCTGTGACACAGGACATAGCTCCATAAACTCTTCGGTGGTCAGTTCCTTCTTGTGCTCTTCCATTAACTTATCAATGTCATTACTGTATCCAACGCTAGCTCCATGTTTTCCAGAGACACAATCTCTTTTTATTACAGATTAAACACATTTTAAGCAGAAACTTTTATTACAGATTTTTCAGACACCTCGATGTTGCATTCCACAATGCCTGTTTGGTCAAAGCCTTTATACAAGATGCTGGCAGGATTGTATATGTGATGTCACATTGTCTCCATGTCACTTCTGTGAAACATTTCTCAATAAGAGAATTATTTTTTTGCATTTTGTTTTGCTTGTTATGCTAATCACTCATTAGGGAGATGCTTATTAAGCAAGGTTTGACTGTACTTTAGTCTTAGAGAGTACTCCATTAGCTGTTATGTCCTTTTTTTTTCATTTAATTGATGTATGCATTTATGTAAGTTTTATTTAATAATTTTTCAAATTCATTTTATGTGTACCTCAATTGTTATTTATGTTTTAGGAGTGGAACCTGAGCCTCATCGAGCAAAAGTTCAATGGTTCTCCAGAATATCTGAGTTACCATCATTTGCTCTTAAGTTCATAGATAAAGTTGATACTGTGAATGAAGTTGTGGAAGAAAAACGTATCAATTGGTCATATATTATTGATGCTGACACAATATTTCACAAGTGTTTAGTATGTTTCTTTTTTTTTATTTTTAGAAGTTCATGCTTTTGAATTGAATACATTGATATAAAGTTATGCTGAAAATTTTATGCTAACAAAAAATGAAGGTACTCTCTGATTATCTGCACCTCACTGAGTAGTGCAAAGTAGTAATGAGGCAATGCATTATGTCTCCAAAATGTATTTATGTAGCAAATCATGTATTCACACGCACAGCAGGTGAGCACTGGTTTCCAACTTCAGTGATCATTGATGTTTATTTATTTATTTATTTTTTGCATTGATTGCATTTTTTTTCAAGTTTTTCAAATGATAAAAAAGAAAGCCTTGCATTTCTTCTGAAATATAGTGTTTGCATAAGGACAGGGAATGCAAAAGTTCACATTCCATGAAGTTGTTCTTTATATATGATTGAACTAGAAAGCCCGGCGGTCATACTAAATGACCTCTGTTCTAGATATTATAAATTGTAATTAAAATGATTTGTGCAAAGGTGTCTGCTAATTCAAACTGAATTACCCAGGACGGCCCATTGCTTACTGCTCCACGGGAATCTCCCTTCTACTTTGCTTAGTTGCTTAAAGTAGAGGCCAATGAAGGAAACCACTGGTGGTACATTTCTTAAAGAGCTCTATAAATAAAGGTGATTTAATTAATAAAATGTTAATTTACATGTCAAAGATCTCTTTGTACACAACATTTCTCGTGTAGATCTTTCCATCATTTTTAAGCTCGCTTTCCAGAGGACCATTCATTATTTTTAATTTTACGTTCGTTCTTTCACGAACTCTTGAACAGGGAACATAAAGTTGACCGTGTCCAAATGCACGCTCAGGTAAAAAAAATGCCAACACGTTTAAACGTTTTGCCCTGAGACTTATTGATGGTCATAGCAAAGGCAAGTTTTACAGGAAATTGTCTACATCTCAATTGAAACGACAACCCTGTGCCGTAGCAACTTCACCCCATTGGCTAGTACAGTTACGCAAGCAACCAATAAACTATTGGCGATAAACAGACACTTAAGCCGCATATATATATGGGGTGAAACATCTCCTCTGAAACGGCTGGCTCCCGGGCTTACTGAAGCACATTGTGGCATGCCATTTTGACCATTTGCGTCTTCCTATACTTTAATTAGCCAAGATATTAATTAAAAACTTATTTTCCCTACATTTTCCTCTTTCTTTCTTGGGTTTTCCCTATTAGAGGGATTTGGTTAAGTGCCAAATTCTTTTTTCTAGAATACCTACAGAACTGCGCTGAGTTGAAATTCGAGACGCTCTTTCACTGTTTCACCTCAGATTCCAAAAAATTCTCTAAGTGCATTGATACCTTTCTCATCTTCGTACGACTTTAATCGGCTGAAATATTAATTAAAAACTGCTAAAACATTAATTTCCGCGCTCCTTTTTCCGAGTCGCAACAATAAACTATCGCCGACAAACACTTAAGTCACTTATATATATATAAAGATATGGGGTGAAGTAATATCATTTCCTCTGAAACAGCTGGCTCCCGGGTTTAGCGAGGCACACCCTTGGATTCCGCAGTTCCGTGGGACACCATTTTGACCATGGGTCTTCATGGGAGACCATGGGTCTTCGCGTCTTAATGGGAGTTTAATTAGCCAAAATATTAATTAAAACTAGTTTTTCCCTACATTTTCCACTTTCTTGGGTTTTCCCTTTTAGAGGGATTTGGCTATGGAACGGCGCCGAGTTGAAATTCGAGATGCGTATCCTCGGATTCCAAAAAATTCTGAATCCATCGATATCATTCTCATCTTCGTACAACTTTAATCGTCTGAGATATTAAGTAAAAACTGCGAAAACGTTAATTTTTGTGCTCATTTTTTCCGAGTGGCAACAATAAACTATTGGCGACACACACGTTAGCCGCTTAAATATATAAAGATTTTGTGAATCAAAATTTTGTAGTGATGCAGAATTTGCAGTTCTCTGAGGTTTTTTTACACTGAAAACCCACCGGCTGGGTATATGGGAAGAATAGATAATGTGCATGATGCCCAATTGTCTGCAGTACTGAGTTTCTGCAAAATTCTTTGATTTGTTTTTTGAAGCTAAAACAGATGATTGTGTACATGGGGAAACTTCACCAAAAAAAAAAAGTTTAGTGTTTTAATATGGATATTTCTTGTGTTCTTAATTTTGTTAATGACTTCTTGTTTTTTACATTTTAGCTTTGTGAAAAATCAATTGCCATTTGTGAACAACTTTTCAGAAATAATCAGAATCTTTTAAATAATCTTTTTGTAAATAATCAGGAATTACCAGAATTTATATATAATTTAAACCTAAAGTTTTCTCTTGACATCTTTATTTTAATTTTCATTTCTTTTAAGTGTTTTTAAGAGACCATATTTTTTTCTGGGGAAATAATTAGAATTTAAGTTTAGCTTGAAGGAATTATGAATATCGCTGCAAACCAAAACAAATGTATCGGATTTTGCACTTTTTAATTTACTTTCGTCTTTCTCTGTATCGGATTTTGCACTTTTTAATTTACTTTCGTCTTTCTCTGTAAATGAAAGTATTATAGCACAAATATTTATAAAAGCATTGTTTTTAGTACTGCATTTGGGTACAGAATAATTCTGTGTTGTTTAATATTTTGCCATTTGCATATTTTTAATAATGGAATTACTTCTATTTTTCTGTTAGATATAAAAAATTTAAAAGTATTTTTGTTATAATGTTATGTTTTTGTTTAGACCAGCATTTCCCAGTCAAAAAATTTATTAATTATTCATGTACAGACCAGTTTTCTAATAGCCATATGAAAAGTACTACTGATAGCAGTATAGAAAAAAGGTAATGGGTCTCAACTGGGGGACTCCTCGACTAATAAGACACTGGTATCTAACAGTGAAAGAGCATATCCTACTTTATGGAGCAGCAATCTGGGGCCTCAATAAGACTCAAAATGTGAAAAACCTGCTCAACTCAATACAAAGATAGCACCTCATACTAGTTTGTAAAGCTTACAAGACGACATCAACAGCAGCTCTACAAATTCTTGCAGGAATCCTTCCGCTTGATCTGTAGGCCCAGAGGGGAAGCAGCAATTACAAGAGTCAGCTGCATTGGTATTGATACAAAATTATGAGATAAGCACTACTTTGCTATCGATTATGAAAAAATGTGGCCCCCAAATCTTGGACACCCAGCAGCCTTCAATCTAGTAAATACGGTTACCACTATGTATGAAGCTCCTGCCACTTTGCAATCTGCACCGACGGGTCCAAGACAAGTGAGGGTACTGGCTGTGCATACTGTGTTCTAAAAGGTCCCAGTACAGTGCACACATGGAATTGTAGACTAGATGCCAGGAATACCGTCTACCAGGCAAAACTATCAGCAATCAAGACCATAAATGTATGCAAGAAGGAATGGCATTTGCAAGCCAACAATATTAAGTGACTCATTGTCCAGTCTACAGGCAATTCGGAGCATTGAAAAAAAGAATATGTTAGTCCAGGATATTCAGAGAAAACTCATAACACAATCAGAAGCTGAAAGAGCAAACCTAACATAGGTTCCAGCTCATGTAGACATCCATGGAAATGAAGTAGCTGATCAATTAGCAAAAGAAGCAGCCAATGATACAAATAGGATCGAAACTCCAGAAAGACTTCCCAAATCCTACATGAAAAAGCAGACATTGAAAGACCTGGTAGAAGAATGGCAAAGATGATGATCAACAGGAGAAACAGGCAGACAAGTTTACTCATTCTTTCCCAAAGTAAAGCTACGGCAAAGAAGTACCACAAACTCTCTAAGTCAGTACTTTTCAGGCCATGGACCCTTCCAATCTTACCTCTACAGATTCGATCTTAGAATCACAGATGAGTGTCAGTGCAGAGAAGTTGGTGATTCAGATCACTACCTTTTCCAGTGTCCAAACACAAGCACAATCCACTTAAAGAAGCCGTTAGAAGTCGATAAGCCAAAATGGGCAGAACTCCTAATAAAGAATACAGTTGATCATAGGAAGCTTAGAGACATAATGCAGTTCCAATGTTTTCAAGTAGTGCAAGTATGTAGCATAAAAAGTAGAGATCAGAGCTGGTTACATTTTGTACTCCTGCTTCGTATTGTATTTTATATGGTATTAATGCATCGTATTTAAATTATGTATAGCATGTAATCGTTGTGAAGTATTGTAATATTGTATTTGGAATAATATAATCCTGTGTTAATGCCTTATGTACTGTATTATGCATTGTGTATTGTGTTAGTAAAGTAATGTAAGTCCTCCTTGCTGCACTGTAAGTTTTAGTTGCATATCATGTATTACATGCAGGCAGTATGTATAGTAATGATAAGCTCAGAGTAGTATATTGATCTCTTGGTCGTGTTGCACTCTGCTAAAAGTGTCAAATGTTATAATAGGTGTTAAATATTTTAGGCAGGTAATACCTTTTTACTCATTAGCATTGTGAATATATCCTGTTTGATTCAGTTATATATATTCAAGCATCATGTGTTGTAAAAAGTATTGTAAAATGTATCAAATGTGTCATGTACTGTAAAAAGTCTCCAATGTTCTAAAATTTATGAAGTGTTTCTGAAATATTATCATGTAAAAGTATAAATTTAGTTTGCATGCCATGTCAAGAAGTATCATTATGACCAAAACAGAACAATGTAACTCATAACTCTGTAAAGAAAAATGGCTCTATATGCCCATGTAAAACTTTTTTTTTTTTTGATTTACTACAAATAAATATCTGGAGGTCTGGCCTTTAATCTGTGTAAGGCAGTTCCACGACTACCAGGCAACGAAGCCCAGTCACTCTGGCCTTCAGTGTACAAAAAAGAGGAAATATCTCAACTGCGTGTTTTATTATTTAGTATAATTTTAAAACCATAAGTACCATGATTACAAAAAGATCACTGTCAGTATAAAAAGTATTATTCCAGAAGTAATTGCAATTAATATGAAAATATTGTTTCAAAATTATCATTATCTAAAAGAAAAAAAAA